AGTTACTCAGACTGATGCAGTAGGTGTTGCCAGGGAGACAACAGACACAAATGTCTGTAAGAGCATAGATGGCAGGAAGATAGCTAAGAAGTAATGAGTTCTGAGTATTGGTAACTTGGTTACTGACATAATTGACTTAAATTATTCCATGTAATTTTAGATTTAAAGATACCCATGTTTAAAACCAACATGCAAATTTCCCAGAAATGTACCCGTGAAAGGCTGGCTTCAGTACCCAGTCTGCCTGCTTTTGATATGAGAGCCTTGATTGAACCTTTGGATGTCTCTAGAGGACGGACTCTTCCCTCACATGGGAGAACTGTCCTGATCTTGTATTTCTGATCTCAGGGACTGGAAGCACCAGGCTCGGCTTCCTTTTCCATGCCCCTTTACGTCATCTCGTCCTCATCTCCAATGCGGCACTTGGATAGATTGCTGCAGAGGTATGGGCTAATCTTCCTGATTTTGTTCCCTTGGAGCTTCGGAAGAACTGTGTTTTATCCTAACACCCTTTGAGGCATGTCTGTTTACAACCTTGTGTGGATGCTGCACATTGCTTGGGGCTAGGGCCCAGAAGATGCACCACAACCAACCGCTTTCTGATTTGTTGATTGACAGATCTGGAGGGAGAACATTCTATAAGATGTGTTGGAATGTATGTCTGAACTAGGCTGCACAATGCCTTTCTTTCGAGAGTTGAGAGTGGATGTTTAGATCATTCTAAATAATCAGACTATAACTCCTTTCAGTAGCCTTTGGGACAAACATCCCTTCTCTGCGTTCTGTTTCCTCCCCCTGATAAGAAGATTGGGAAAGCCTTCTGAAGGGGCTTTGTAGGCTTCCCGAATGTACTAGTTTTGTGTCACGGTAGCAAAATATCTAAGATGATCAACTTAAAATATAAAAGATTTATTTTACCTAGGAGTTCTAGAATTGTTGTCCATAATCAATGGGTCCTCACTGCTTTGGATCTGAATGTGTGTGTTTTGAGCTATCACCCACCTTGGAGTGTGCAGTGGTGTGGAGCTAGCCCTGTTCTCCCTCCCTCCACAGTGAACGAGTTCTTCAGGGTGCACACTGGCTATGATCTGGTACTCTAGATGTATTTTTGTAATGCGTCTGTGGTGAGACACCTCCAAGAAACAACATATTTGATTCCCTTTTAATGTTTTCCCCAGTCCTGTGACTCTCAGAATCTCAACTTCTGGGGGATTTTCTTTTCAGAAGCCACCTCACGTCTTTAACGAAATCAGTGCTGCCACCATCCAGTCTGAACGCGTGACGCGCCTGCGGAACGAGGTGCAGTTGAAACATGAACAGAACTACAAGGAAGCCTTGGTGAATATCAAGGAGGAGCTGAAGTTAATGGAAGGCCCTGACATCAAGGAGCACCTTCAAGACCAGATCCGGCAGTGGTTCATTGAATGCAGGTGACAGCGTCCCCTCGGGTGGCGCGGCTCACTCGGTGGCTTGGTTCTTGGTTGTTGGTTAGCTTATTTAGTTCAGGCTTGAACTTAAAGGAAGCCTCTTGCTTCAGCGCTGGCGTGCTGGGCTTATAAACATGAGCCACCGCCTGGCTTGTTGTGTTCTTAAACACCAAGGGACCCAGGATGAAGATGTGAGGTTTCTTGACTTTATTTTGAAAAAGTCAAATGCCGACGCTGAGGATTCAGAAAGGTTTTTGATTAAATTGCTTCTCAGTCTGTGTTTGTTTTTTTTAATATGGCCCATGCAGTGCTCTGTGACTGCATAAAACAGACTGTGCTGGGTAGGGTACAGATGGCCAGGTGTGTCTAAAGCCTAGGGAACCAGAAATAACCAGGTCTGACTGCCTTTCTCTTGAGAACCAGCAATCCATTGCTTATAGGCGCCTTCTTCCGGCTCTGAGCCCCTGGTCCTCCATCAGTTGGAGATAGGTGTGAGTTCTGAGCCCTAGGACTCCCTAAAGTGTTGGGTTGCTAGAAGTTCTGAGACCAAGGCTCCAGGCCTATTCTTATATTAGACTTCTTACTGCCTTTAAATGAAATGCTATATTGTCTGAAATGTGTTTGCTGGAGACGTTTTAAAGTACGTTTTTTTCCCAAGGGGAGAGAAATAAGGATGCTCTGTAGCCAGAAGTTTCTCCGGTCCTGCCCGGTCCTGAGGCTGCTTATAAAATAATCATTCACTGGCTTATATTAATTACCAATTGTATGGCCTATGGCAGGCTTCTTCCTTGCTAGCTCTTATAACTTAACCTATTTCTATTAATCTATAAGTTGCCACATGGCTGTGGCATTACCTGTCTGCTGGTATCTTGCTGCTTCTTCAGTGGTGGCTGGCGTCTCTCTCTTCCTCTTCTTTCTTCTCTCCGTATATCTGCTTGGATTTCCTGCCTGCCTCTAAGCTGCCTTGCCATGGGCCAATGCAGCTTTATTTATCTATCAATCAGAGCAACACATATTCCCAGCATACAGAAAGACACCCCAGAGCAGTGCTCTATCATGGGTGCTGAGGCAGGACACTCGGACATTTCTTCCCATGCTGGGGTGTTGTATCACCCCAACATTAGGTTCTGAGACACTCCAATGCCAATGCTGGTCAGCTCACTGGGACAAGAAAACTGAATTGTTGGGAATAGAAAAATCATATCTCCTCTTTAAATAAAAATCACACCAAAGAGTGTATGTGTGTGGCAGGCAGGCTGTGAACAGACATCTGGGGATCCTTGCCTTCCTGGGGCCTAGACTTAGGAAGTTCCTCACATATAAGAACACAGCAGAAGGGATAGCACCTCCCTCTGGTTCATCATTCACCTTCTTGTCGGTGTAGAGTCTCACAAGGGACATATGGGGGCTCCCAGATGACAACTGGCAAGAGACAGGGGCCTGGTTCCAGCAGCTGGACAGCCAAGCCCTGTCCACAGCCATGTGAGTGGACCCGGGACTGGAAAGGTGTAACCGTTGTCAACCTCCCTGTGTTGACCTCATGTGGAAATTGAATACCTGTTCCCTACATGATAGTCCGACTTCATCCAAACTTCATGGTGGGTGTTAGGCATGCCAATTATATTCTTTCTTATAAATGGCATTTCTACACATTTAATGATTTTTCTCAAATTCAGCATTGAGTTTGTGAACTTTCCTTTGTCTGGGAGGGGTATTTAAATGAGGATCTTGATGGAGAATTCAGAACTCATTCTAGGAGACAGGTGGACTCATCCTGGGGGAGGGATATACAAACAAGCAGGTCCCCCCGTTTCCTTGCTGCCAATCTCCCTGTCTTCTTCTCCAGGAGATGGTTGCACAAATGCACACATTTGTCAAAACTTATCAAATTCCACTCTTGAAATCTGAGCAGTTTATCACCTATCAATTATACCTCAAGCCAAGCTGTTAGAATGCCACAAGATGGGTGGGGTACCAGCAATATGCCATCGTGTTTGTTCTTAAAATTCATACGATTTGCTGTTTCTCAGACTATCAAAACCCAGGGTTTCAGCCTTATTCCCAACCCACACCTGCTGCTCATAGCATAAGGGAAAGCTGCTCTTCTGGTTTAGAACAGTTGCTTCGGGTCAACTGCCTTTTCTATATAGACTTGCAACCAGTTCAGATGTCCCCTTCTCAGGAATCTTGCATGCTTTCTCTTCTTATGGAGCCTGCCTACGTAGAGAGCCATGCAGCAAACCCCCAGCGCCACACTGGGTGAAGAGTGACCATACTGAAGGATGTGGACAGACACCTGTCACTTACCATCTTAATACTGGGTCGTATGGTGGGAAATGAGGTGTTAAGTGAGTTCACTGTTGTGTGTACATCACAGGAGTACACACACACACACACACACACACACACACACACACACACACACGTCTAGATGCCCAAGTCTCCCTCATGACTGGGCGCCATGATGCTTCTAGAGAATACCTGTATGTGTGTGTAGTAGTAGTGTGTAGTACATGCATGGAATAGCACAGCACAGTGTTTAGCACACTACTCCAAATGGCATACTGTTTTAAAAGGAATGGACTGTTTATTATGGAATTTGGGGCTCAGTGTTCACAGATCACTGTTGACAGTGGGTCACCAAAGCCAAGCCCACAGAAGGCAGAAATGCAGATAAGGGGCTCCTGTGCTCACAACATACCGAACACGCTAAGCTTTGTGGGCAAGTGTGGAAAGCTTTTGGGAGGGTGCAGCAGAAACTGAAGGTTGCCTCCAGCTAGGCTCCAGGGAGAGGGGTTACTCTAGAGTCGATCTTCTGTACTGTGAGAATTCTTTTGTTTCAGTATTATTTTTAGGATTAAAAAAAAAAACAGTTATGAGAGGGGAGAAAGGCAATCAGCTTGTGTTGATTTAAAATATTTAAGGCACTTGGGTTTTAGGGAAGTAGATTAATGTGATGTCATCATTATACTGTGTCGTTCTCAGTGCAGAATTAAGTAGGATGGCAACAGGTATGAATTATTTTCCCTACCTGAGTCTTGGAAGGCCCTGGCTGTCACTCTGGAAATGCCCAGTTGTTCCAGCATTTATGAGCTTCTTTGAAGATCCAGCTGGTGGGTCCTCTGAGGACACTTCCTCTTGACCCCACCGTCTGAGGGCTGGTTCGAGGCTCCCTCGTGGGTACACTGGGCAGAATTCACAAAGGCATAAAAATTCCTCTTTTTGAAGTAATGGAAGGTCGAGGGTAGATTTATTTTCATAATTGGATTAAAGTCATCTGATGGACTTTGATAAAGAGCTTTGCTCCCTGCCTTTTTAAATCAAAGGCAAATAAAAGCAAATATTGTCTTTTGAAGTATGAATCACAGTCAGTTCTCAGAATAAATTCCAAAATGATGCGCAGGGCAGGGCAGCTGATCATGAGAAGCCATGAGCAATAAACAGACACTCTTGGCTCATCTGGTCAGTGTGTAGAGGCTGGCCTCAGGCTCCAGCTCACCATGCGGCTGAGGGTGAAGCTACCTCCGAGGGCTGGGTCACAGGTGTGCATGCCTTCTGATTATTTGTTTCTTAAGCTGTCCTAGGTGAAGGTTTAAAAAATTAACAGTTTCATACACGTATATAACAATTTTAGGTCGTTTTCAATCTTATCTTCGTCTCTCATCCCCTCCCCATCCCGCTGAAAAGTTAAACTTCAAAAGTAACACATATTCATTTGAGGTAAAGTTTAAAAAAGAAAAACTGGCCTATGTATAGTTTTCATTTCAGCATACAGAGACAACAACTGTGAACATTTTCGGTCAAGTTCCTTCCTGTCTCTTTTCTCTCTAATATATATATATATATTTTAATTAGTTTTATTTATTCATATTTTCCTTTAAAACTTCAACATTGAACTTTCCCATGGCCCTGTAATGCTTTTCAAAAGATTTTTTTTTAATGAATGCTTGGCATTTGATTGCATGGGTGCACTAGATAATAAACTGATTGTAATCTTTTTAATATTTTGCAGAGCCAATAAAAAAGGCTATCAAGTGATCTTGGAATTTGTGTTAATTTAAATTTTTAATTTTTTTTTTTTTTTTTTTTTTTGGTTTTTCGAGACAGGGTTTCTCTGTGTAGCCCTGGGTGTCCTGGAACTTGCTCTGTAGATCAGGCTGGCCTTGAACTCAGAGACTTACTTGCCTCTGCCTCCCGAGCACTGAGATTAAAGGCGTGCACCACCAGCACCCAGCTAATTTAATTATTTTGGGGGTTGGGGAATAATTCCATTTTTGTTTTTGCCTTGAGACAGGATCTAACTATGCAGCCCAGGTTAACCTTGAATTCAAGATCCTCCTGCCTCAGCCTCCTGAGTGCTAGGATTAACAGGTGTGTATCCCCAACTTATTTGAGTTGGTTTTGCTTGTTGATAGTTCTTCATCTGGACTGTTCTGTCATTTATCTACTTCTCTGTGTCTTGGTGCTGGGTTTTCTTCAAGTGATCTCTGATATGTAGTTATATATACGAATGTTAAACATCCTTAAGCTTTTGGCTTATTTTTAGAATACTGACTGTTTAGGTTTTTATTTGTCATTATTATGCCAAAGGAGGCATCAGGTCCTTTCCAGGCACCTTCCACACGCATCCTTTGGTATGTCTTCTTCCCCTTCTTCACACTCTAAGGACCTGGGCTCTGCTGCAGAGTGTGGCAGTGACCTGGGCTCTGCTGCAGAGTGTGGCAGTGACCTGGGCTCTGCTGCAGAGTGTGGCAGTGACCTGGGCTCTGCTGCAGAGTGTGGCAGTGACCTGGGCTCTGCTGCAGAGTGTGGCAGTGACCTGGGCTCTCCTGCAGAGTGTGGCAGTGACCTGGGCTCTCCTGCAGAGTGTGGCAGTGACCTGGGCTCTGCTGCAGAGTGTCGCAGTGACCTGGGCTCTCCTGCAGAGTGTGGCAGTGACCTGGGCTCTGCTGCAGAGTGTGGCAGTGACCTGGGCTCTCCTGCAGAGTGTGGCAGTGACCTGGGCTCTCTCCCCTGCAGAGTGTGGCAGTGACCTGGGCTCTCTCCCCTGCAGAGTGTGGCAGTGACCTGGGCTCTCTCCCCTGCAGAGTGTCGCAGTGACCTGGGCTCTGCTGCAGAGTGTGGCAGTGACCTGGGCTCTCTCCCCTGCAGAGTGTCGCAGTGACCTGGGCTCTGCTGCAGAGTGTGGCAGTGACCTGGGCTCTCTCCCCTGCAGAGTGTCGCAGTGACCTGGGCTCTGCTGCAGAGTGTGGCAGTGACCTGGGCTCTCTCCCCTGCAGAGTGTGGCAGTGACCTGGGCTCTCTCCTGCAGAGTGTGGTAGTGACCTGGGCTCTCTCTCCTGCAAAGTGTGGCAATACGCATGTCATCCTTGGTATAGCGTGGGCTATTTGAAGCAATAGCTTTTGTTGAAGATCTCAGTCTGGGAAGCATAACTAGTCAGAAGCTGTTTCAGTTGTTGACTAAGCAAGAACCAACTTCCCAGGCTTCGCCTTCATTCCTCCTCCTAGCCCCAGGGCCAGAACTCAAAAGTGGGGTTCCGCACTGTAACTCCCAGGGTCTGGTTGGTAACTGTAGCCATCTTAGTGACTGGGTACCTCAGGTGTGCATACAGGGAGGAGGGGGAGACTGTCATTTCCTGAATACTTTTTCTATTTCAAGAATGCTTTACACAAAGTGACCTTTGTGTTACTTTGCTCTTGCCAAATTAAATCGCTGCAATCTTGGTGTCTTAACCGGAAGTCTGGATGTTCTGAGATGAAGGGGTAGAGCCGTGCTCCCTAGAAACTCCAAGGATAATCCAGTCATTGCCTCTTCTAGCCTCTGGTGGCTGCTGCCACTCCTTGGCTTGTGTCTAGGTCACTCAGCCTACCTCGGTGGTCACATCGCTCTCTCTTCTGTGTGTCTCTGACCACCCGGCACATGTTTTCCAAGATAATGAGGGCAACATGGTGGGAATACCACAGGACACTGATAACCCCTATCAGAGGTTCAGTCACATCTTCCAGAACCATTTTTCCATGTATGGTGTCATAGACTCCAGGGATTAGGACTAAGGGTCTTTGGAGTCACTGTTCAGCCCACCCCACACCTACAGCCCTATGAGATAGCACTGTGCAACATAGTAAGGACCACACTGCAGGGCTTTGGGTTGGTCTAGATAGTTACAACCCAACAGGACTCTCTGCTGCCCTGGAAATGCTCTGGATTCTGCCAGCTAGCACAGTCGTAGACGATGACCCCGTCTGGGTGTGTAGACTGGCTCTGACTTACAGAGGCTCAACTTTGCAATGCGCAAACCAGGGCACATTTAGCCGAAATGGCTTTCCTAATTTGAAGCTGGAGCTGTGTGGTATGATCCTTGGTGATGGGCAGTAGTGGGTAGTGGAGTATGGGGTAGGACTGAGCTCCCAGTCATTCCAGTGACCTCAAGGGGATTCTGGCGTGTGCTGTATGGTTAAGCTGGGACGCTCGGCAGGGCAGGTATATTAAATGTATTTTCCACTTAACATGCTTTCCAACTCATGGTGTGTTTATGAGACACAGCCCTGTAAGGTGAACAGCAACTGTACATTTTATTTTACTTCATTTGAGTGTAGGTTGGGGCAGCCGCCTGTCCCCAGTAGCTAGCACGTGGAGCAGCGCAGCTGAGGGGATGCTTGTTTCCAGAAAGCACTTGCTGTACTTGGTGTGTGTCCTCACTTGAGACCACCATTCACTGCGTTAGTTCCAGGGCTCAATCGTGAACTTCATCCCAAAGTCTCATGAAGGGGTCTCAGCCACAGCTTCATCCAACACACAGTTATGAAACAGAACCCTGAAGCTCAGCCAGGCTGCAACCCCCAGAGCCAGTCTATGGAACTGGGGCTCTCATCACTGAAGAGGCGACAGCCTTTCCTCCTCCCAGTCACCTGCATCAGCACCATGCAAGCTGTTTTCATCACCAGAAAACTGGGACTAACTCCAGGCCTTGAGATCTTTACCGATGAAAACCCCAAGTTTGTTTGAGAGTCTTGTGGTGCCTCTGCCCATGGCAGTACATTGCTGACTGGCTTAGTTTAATTTCTGTTGCTATGATTAAACACTCTGACAGAAATCAGCATAGGATAGGAGAGGTTTGACTTGTATTTTTAGCCCGAGTTCCAGCCCATCATTGCAGAGAAGAGTCACAGAAGCAGGAGCTTGAAGCAGTCGATCATATCATATCCACTCAAGAACAAAGAGAAATGGTGCCCCCCCCATGCTCCCTGCTTCTGCTCTTTCTCCTCACTCATACCATTCAGGACCCAGCCTAGAGAATGGTGTCCCCCAGAGTGGGCTCCGTTAGGTACTGATCAAGATAATTCCCCAGAGATAGCCCCACAAGCCAACCTGATCTGGGCAATCCCTCCATTGAGGCTTTCTTCTCAGGTTATTCTAGATTATGGCAAGTTGACAGTTAAAACTAACCAACATTTATTGACCTTCTTAAAAAGTGCCCTGACTTCCAGGGACTTCAAATGGGGCCTACAGCGCAGGAGTCAGATCACTCTGATGGCCTCTCCAGTCCCATTTCAGCAGGCTTCCATGTTACTGTTCCCGTTGCTGGGATCAAGTTCCTGACAAGAAGGGACTTAAGAAAGAAAAGGCTTCTGTGGCTCACAGTTTGAGGGGATACATCCATCACAGCAGGGGAGACAGGGCACAGAACCCTAGACATGGTTGGATGGGTTGCATCCAGAAGCAGGAAGTAGAGTCTGTGGGTGACATTTCACATTCAACCTGGGGAGTGCTGTGAGCAACATACAGGCTATGTCGCTCTTCCAGCAGACACAACCGTCACTGTGAAGGTCAAATGAAAGGACTCTGGGGGGTAAGTTGAACCTCAGCAGTGTGACCACCTGTTGGAGATGGAGCCACCACCACTGCCTGTTAATGTTATGATGCAACGATGCATCATGTATAGACAACAAACGTACTGTGAATGCTGTGTACACACACAAGCTCTCACACTAACTTGGGAGTTGAGGCCCTAGAGTAGAGGCTGCGTGGGTTCAGATCTCCACTCCACCACTTAAGTCTTTGTGACCTTGAACCGTACCTCCTCTCTCTGCCTTTGTTCCCTCATCTAAATGTGTGTTGGTGATGGGGACAGTCTTAATGCCAACGTCATGGACAGGACAGTACAGATTAATACATATGACGCCATTAGAATACTGAGGACTCTGGGTGCTCCATCAGACACGCAACATATGGTTGAGAACATGTGTTATATCCTTGGTAGCGAATGTTTTTGTCCCTGTGTCTAGCACTGTGACATCCCCAGCCATAGGCATATTTTGTGGCCTCTTAGTCACAGTGCTGCCTACCAGCCTACAAAGGAGAGATTGGCTGGTGGGGGTGGTGGAGAGAGGAAGCTCTGAGTGGGAGGGGAGGTTCAACTGCGAGAGGGGTCACAATAGGGTTGTGATACAGAACAGCAAGTGTGGAATGTGCCTCAGCCCCAGGGCACGGGAGCAACTTGTCTGAGGTCGTGTGCAGATGTGCATTCTTCCTGGAGGAAGTTTCAGTCATTTGGGGGTGGGGGGTTGTGCTTTCAAAACTAAATTACAATCTTAGCTACGGGAGTTAAGCTTTGGCATTTTAGGACTGGGAGACCTTGAATGTGGGACCCTGTCTTCTCCCTTAGATTGTGCATTGGGAACTCTAGAACTAGCCTGTCAACGCGGAGTCCCCGTGCTCTGGTCCCGGGAGGGCCAGTCTGGGAACAGGAACTTGCTGGCTACGCCGCTGTCTTCAGTGGACAGCGAAACCTTGGCTTTGACGCTGGCCTGAGGGAACGGAGTCCTGTTTCCCCAGTGCCGCCCCTGGCACTGCCTGCCTGAACCCCCAGAGCTGCTGGACCACCTCAGCTCCCGCTAGCTCCGTTGCGTTCACGGTTTGCCCCATTCAGATGAATCTGCCTGCCTCCTGCTCTGCGAGAGAGGCGTCTGTGCCAGGTGCTCATAATAAGCACCGATCTAATTAGTTCTTTAGTCTTCTACATTATTTCACTTACACACCGTACACAACTAGTGCAATTAGCCCACACAGGCGTCACAGAAGCCCCACAGGCTGAAGCGGTCGGAGCCAGCCTCCCAGCTGTAGCTTTCATTTTAATTTTACTACCATCACCTTGAATTCTTTATGTGATACAGGAGATGGACAACCCGCCAAGTAACCATGGTAACAGTAGGCCACCAATGGCACTGAAATTAGGAATGCAGAGGTTGGGAAGATCTAAGTCTGGAGTGCTGTGTAATCCCCGAATCAGACCAACATACACTGGAGACTTTGAGGGGCTTTCTCGACTAGAATTCTCCCTCAGCTCTGATCCCCAACGCCCAGGACATCACTTACTTTTCCCGTTGCTGTGAAGAAAGCAGTTTAAGGAAGGAAGGATTTATTTTGGCTTTCAGTTTGGGAGAGCACAGTCTTGGCAGGGAAGACCGGGCCACGGGAGCATGAGCAGCTGGTCACACTGCAGCCATGGTGAGGAGGCAAGGAAAGCCGAACACAGTATTCAGCCCACTTCCTCCTTTTCATTCCATTAGGATCTCAAGCTTGCGAGGGGCTCACCTCAGTTAGCCTGATAGAAACTCCCTCACAGACACGCCCGGAAGTTATTTCCTGGGTGATGCTAAGTCCTGTAAAATTAATTATTAAATTCATTAAATATTAAAAATACTAACCATCACACCGACATTTCCTCCTCCCAAAGGCTCCAGCAGCAAGGCCCTTGGCCCGAGTGTCCTCAACTCTAAGCCACAAAAGACTGAGAAATGGTCACCACCCCTTTGTATGAAAGGATGGTGGATACTTGTATTAATTTTTTCACTGCTGTTTTCTTTTTTGATGTTTGTGTTTTAAAAATTGAGATATGAGCTGGGCGGCAGTGGCGCATGCTTTTAATCCCAGCACTCGGGAGGCAGAGCTGGGCGGATCTCTATGAGTTCAAGGCCAGCCTGGTCTATAGAGTGAGATCCAGGACAGACACCAAAACTACACAGAGAAACCCTGTCTCAAAAAAACAAAACAAAAAAATTGAGATACGGTTTAAATGAAGTTAAGCCTGCTCCCCTACCCCCGTTTCAGTGTGCAGTTCTGTGAGTTAAAGGTTGGCATTTTAAGTCTGGGAGACTTTGAGACTGTCTTCTCCCTCATGCATTGGGAACTCTAGAATCAACCTGTCAACGCAAAGGTCAGGCAGGGAACAGAGACATGCTGGCCGACAAGAAGCAACCTAAATGAGGAAGGGCTTATTTTGACTTTCAGTTTAAGGAGAAACAGACGATCATGGTAGCAAAGGCGTGGGGGCGGAAGTGTGAGGGAGTTTACAGGCAGGAAGTAGAGAACGGCAGGAAGTAGGGCCAGGCTATCAAATCTTGGGGTTCACGCCTGGTGACTACTTCCTCCCATGATGCACACCACCTTTTAAAGGTTCTACAGCCTTCCGAAACAGCAGCACATGTGGGAACTGAGTGTGAAACACAGGAGCCTGTGAGAGCATTTCTTGTTCAAACCACAATAGTGCCCACGGCGGTTGGGCTCATTAGGTACCTCCGGGGAGCCCAGGTCTTTGCTCGCTCCTGATTCCTCCTCTTCCCTCGGCTGCTTCATGTGTTCATGCAGTGTAGTTAAGAGGAAAAGAGGGAGCCCCCGAGAGAGAAAGAAGGGGGTAAGAAGGGAAGAGAGGGAGAAGAATCCAGGGACTGAGAAAGCTGCCTGTGGCCTGCTCTAGTTGTTTCACAGGAGACATCGTAGACTTATGGAAGCTGGGCAGCTTGGCTCGAAGTCCACCTAGTGACTAGCACATAGAGAATGAAGACGCCGGGGAGAGACCTTTAGAGACGTGGGCATTGTGTAGACCCAGGGTGGTCTCCGGGGAAAGGGCAGAGCTTCCCTCTGAGAACTTTCTAAAGAAGCCACCAGCCTGCCCCTGTCAGGTACCCTCCAGGTAGTTGGGATCTGAGCTATATTTGATTTTTTCCTTCACATTTTCTACATGTTCTGCAGGAACCCTGAGTTATATTCAAAATGAGACAGAAGTGTAAGGAAGACAGGGGGTGGTCACACATGGAGAGACGAGTCGAGGGCTCGTTATTGTGAATTCTTTGTGTAATTACACATTCAGTGAGTTTTCAAAAGCAGCTGCAGTCAGCAGAGGAGGTGCAGACACACGTGTGGGTTGCTTGAGTAAGAAGCCAAATGAGCTTCCTCCCTGCCATGGCTTTCATAAAGAATGTACGAGATTGGACAGGGCACACAAGAAAGGATGGGTGAGAACTCACGGTCCTGGCACTATTCACTGAGGACAGGGGACAGGCACATAACCCATGTGAAAGTGTAGGTTTTGATGTGGCTCATCACAGTAGATTAAATTAAGAGCACCCGGGGCTCTTGTGGTTCCCGGTCCAGGTACCAGAGCTCACTGACAGACAGACACTAGGCTCTTCAGCAAATGCAGTAGGCTAATTTCCTTTGTCTTGGGCCCTCTGCATTTTCAGTGTGCCCCACAGACTGCAAGGACAGAAGAGTCATCTCCATGACAGTGGTCTCACAGAATCAAGGTTGGCACTAGCTGCCCCTGGTGGATCTTCTATCTCCAACACCACCCAAGAAATGAAAACTTGTCTTAGGCTTAGACGTGGGTTAAATACTCACGTCTAAGTATTTCTGCTGCAGTGTGTGTAACACTGTGGTGACAGATCACACATGGGTCTTTGCACTCAGGGCCTTCCGGTTCTGAACAGACAGAAGAGTCGTGGCTTTGTGTAAACACTGTGGGACAGAAATAGCCACACCTTTGTGTTTTCTAAATACAGTGACACTCACTTGTCACTCGATCAAACAAGGACAGAGGATAGGGAAAGAACGGGAAGGTGAAGCTCCTTTTGATGAGGAAGGGCCAGGGGAGTCGCTGGCTGGGTTTTGAGCCTTGCTCGATGGGAAAGGATAACAGCGAAGAAAAGCCTTTGCTTTTATCCCGATAGGAGCAGGTCTGTCCCGAGCATTAATTCTCCTCCATAAATGACATTTGGGATAGGAAAGTAGAAACAAGATCTACTTGTCACTTTGTCAACAGAGGAGCAAACCAACATAGGTTCTCATATCATCCCTAATGAAGTGTTTCTTTTAATGAAATTGTAAAGGGAAGGGCAGGCTGGCTGGATGTGGGGGGTGTGCTTGTCACATTCAAACATGAGCAGAATTCAAGACAATACTCTTGGGCCAAGAAGGAAGCCTCGGTCTAGACTGGAACCAGCTAATAACACCCACTAATAAGCAAGGCATCTATGAATAGATCGACTCTCTTATCTGGCTCCTGGGGATCAAGAGACTGGGTGCGCAGGGCTCTCCTGCTCTCCTGTGAGCACAGGCCCACTTGGTGTCCCAAGGAGGCCATGTAATCACGTCCATGTGCAGTCCATTGCCTTTATTGAGTGTCTGCGAATTTATGGGCAGCAAGTGACACCTTCAGAGGCTTCTGTGCAGTGGCACAAGCTGCTTGCTTTAGAACTTGGGAGAAATTTATGGGTCTGCTGACATTAATGGAGGTGGCTGGATGACTGGGGGGGATCGGCCGGAAACCCCTCCATCCATATATTTTTCATACTTGATGAAACACAGATAAATCTCTGTCCTGTGTGTCTGAGACGGTGAGACCCGTCGAAGCCTGGTGTCGGGCCTCGGGGGGAAATTTATCATTTGAGGAGTTCTGCTTTCTAAATCACTGTGAACTCCAGACTGGCCATTTGCACATTTGTTTGAGAATTTTTGACAATATCCATAAATTTTTAATAGGCCCTAACTTGACCAAGCGCACCACACCTACCGTTTGTTAAGAGAAAAATATGAGACCGGAGTGTTTCCCCTTCAGCGTGTTCAGATAAAAGAGCAGGAAAACAGCACTCCATTTCCCCCGTATTTTTAGTGAGAAAGACAACATTAGTCACTGAATAAATTTCATAAGAAGTTAGCAGGGCCCCCATCATTTGTCACATGTAAATAGTAGAGTTTCCTGAAGTCAGAGAAAATACAAAAAATTGTTTCTTGGGCACAAGGTTCCTATTTTTAAAACAACAAACCTAAGGTTTTGCAGAGATGGAAATGCCCTGGTCCCCACGGAGATTTTTTAATTAAATTTATTATTGTTATTATTATTGTTGTTGTTGTTATTGTTATTATTATTATTTGTGTGTGTGCACATGCCATAGCGCGTGGATAGAGGAAGGAGGACAGCTCTGTGGAGTGAGACCTCTCCTACCTTCCCATGGGTTCCGGGGTTGGAACTCAGATAGCCAGGCTTGCCTGGGGGTGGGCCTTACCTGCTGAGGCAATCCAGGCCACTCCAAGGGGATTTCCTACTTTACCCCATCACAGGAGTCGCTAGTGGCGACTACCACACAGCTTTCCCCATTTCCAGTAGAACCCTGTTTATCATACATCTAGTCTCCCAGCTGCTCCCTGATCTGGTGTGAAGCTTTATTGTAAGTGCAGTTTATTGGCATCTACCCAAGCCATGTGCTTGTCTGCCTCAGCCTCCTCCCTGCTGTCACAAGAGATGTCACCACGCCAAGTGTGTAACTGTCCTTTAAAATCCTAAAGCAGAGAGGGGTCTGATGGCACAGACCTGGGAAGCTGCTCGGAAGGCTGGAACCAGAGAATCAGAAATTCAAGACCTATCCTGGCTACAGAGTGAGTTCAAGGCTGACCTGGGCAATTTAGCAAGACCTAGTCTCAAAATTTAAAAAATATATATATTTTAAAATTGAGGATGTAGCTCAGTTATAGAGATGTATGTTTTAACATACACACAACCATGCTTCTGGGTGCAATCCCCAATACACACACACACACACACATACACACGCATATACACCTATGCACACGTACACACATGCGTATACACATACACACATATACTCATACATGCACAAACCCATGCATACATATGATCACAAACATATACACACACATATAGACATGCATATGCATGCACATATGCACTGCATATATATATACACACACACATGTATAGACACACACATAGTATCATAACAGTCCCGTCGAGAGCCCCAAAATGCAAGTGTGACATCCTGTGCTGTTGTCAAGTACATCCTGGGCTCTCGGGCACCCAGGGATGCCCTTTTGTCAGAGGCTGTGCGGCTTCCCCCTCACAGGGAACCCTAGCTCAGGAGAGCCTGCCCGGGGTTTAATGCTCTCAGAATTGTCTCTATTGTTCTGTTTTTCATTCTCCTGGTGTTGGTGAAGGGGCAGGGAGTGGGCTGGACTCATATTGTTTCTTACCCTGCAGGATCGAATGGGCTGCTGCGGAGTCCATGACATCCTGTTTTGTTTTGATTGCTCATTTCCCACAGGTTCGTACTTCCAGAATTTCTGTGATTCATTCAGTTATTTCAGAAAGCACTTTGGCCTTTCCAAGAGATGTACAATTAGAATACTAATACCCATCCTTACAAATACAGTTACATGGTAGGGAAGTTGGATAGAGTCATATGATCACCTCTGCTTGATCAAGTTAGATGTCCCCTTCTTTTCTGAAAAGCCAAGGCATGGGAGAAGGGGCATAAACTGTAATGGCATTTAGTTTAAGTGTGGCAAGATGTAGGCTAGGGGTAGAGAGACTGTTATATCTTCTCCCTGAGGATTTTTCTCAGAGCCATAGGCACTGTCGAGCACACCACACGTACTCAATGAGCATATTGTGAATGAACAGATGCAGGATGAACGGGTGAGTCAAAGATGCTGTGTCCTCAGGAGAGACACACTTCACAGACACTGGGCACAACCTTTGTCCCTACCCATAACTGCTGCCATGATATGAATGGGAGTTGATAACCAGGATAGTACCAAGGGGAAATAACAAGAATCAACTTCTTACAGAGAATGGGGAACTATACCGTTAAATAATGATGGACGATGTATGCAAGAGAAACATCAGCCCTATGTGAGATGAGAGTGGGCCGTGAAGAGACAGAAGAAACACTTGAATAGACGGAGAGATGGACTCTGCTGCCGGCTGAATGGAAAGACGATGAATTGACCCCAGGAGATTTATAGGGATAAAACAGTTTCAATTAAAATCCCAACAGGATTATTTGTGGAACAGGAAATATAATTATTAAAGTCATTAGGATTGAAATAAGAATCTAAGAACAACGAGGAAGAACAAATGGCCATGTATTCTAAAGTACATTATAAAGAAAAATAAGAGGTGCTTAGTGCTAATAAGAAAGCATAAATGTAGATCAGTGGACTAAGAGGGCGGCCCGGGAGCTGACAGACGTATATGGGATGAGTAATTTCTGATAAATGCATTTTTAAAAGGGAGCCAGAACATAAAAATACACTTACGGTAACTACATTGTTAGAGCTGGCTGGTAACAGAAACAGAGAATTTAATGTCCTGGGAAAGATGCCACAGAAGCGTAAATATTATAAAATAAAATTGGGCAAACCCACTGCAAAAATTATGAGGCCTATTCAGTATTAAGAGTCTACAGAAGGAGAGAAACCAGCCGAGTATGACAGTTGCTGTGATTACAAATGGTTTTGCTCTGTGCTTTGTTGCATTTGATATATCATTCCTACTTGCTGTGCTAAAGAAATCGATACTGAAGCGGATTCAAGAACTCAGCAGCCCTGCTCCAGCCCACTCCCAGGCCTTCACCTGTCCGCAGGCCCTGAAGACACACGGGCAGTGGATCGCCTGTTGTCTCCTTTGCTCTTAAACAAAAGCAAGGAGTGGTGATCGTCCCATTGCCGGGTCCTTCCGGCTAAGAGCCGTATCATCTCTTCAGGAACTGACGGGTGTTGAGTGCATTTCCAGCATCCTGCAGACACTCAATGGGAGGAAGAACGTGGTGACTGTGCAGCACAGCTCTGTTCCCTCTGCCTAAAACCGTGAGAACTTAACTCTGACAAAGTGTCCCTTGCACACAGAACATCTGATGTTGAGGAACAGGCTGTTGTTAGTCTACATGCCCACGGGCTGTAACCTAAAGTGGCTGAGGTGGGCTGGGTGGGTCTGAGCAGGGCAGGAAAGGCGCGCTGCTGGCTCCCCACAGGAGTCCAGTGTAACCTCTGCCTCGGAGCTGAGAGGTACAGGAGTGTGGTCTTTAATGCACAGAAGGACAGGGCAACAATATTTACTGTCTGAGTCTCTCAGAAGCCAGGTAAATGCTTCACAAATAAGGTAGAAAATCCCCTGTTGGAAGGGCGACGCTGGCAGACCCGCTGGCCGTAGCTGAACTGGAGGCAGTACTGTGCTCTATGGTGTCTGGCCAGGGGTTCTTGTCTGAGACCAAGGCAGGCTCAGGACGACACTACCACATCTGAGAGCGCCAAGACGGGGGAATGAAAGCCAGGTCCTAAGGCCACAGCCACAGTGGAGGAGGAGTGGGGTTGGAGAAGTTGGGATGAAAGCATTCAGAGTGAAGCCCATGATTGAGCCCAGGAGAAGAAAAGGAAATGTCAAAAGCTGCTCTCTAGAGCTTTCCCCACCCGGGTGGAGCTCCAGGGCACCACAGCTCACAAAGCTAGAGTCTGGTGGCCTCCAGCACCTATGAGCACTCCAGGCTCCCCCGGGCTGGCACGCTTGCTCTCTGGGATTTTGTCTCTCAACATTCTAGGGGTGATTTATCACTTAGTGATGGGAAGGTGACATTCATTCTGTTAAAAATATTAAATCATCTCTAAAATTTAGTGTTTTCATTTTCTCAGTACATTTTAGGAAACGTGTTCAGGAATAACTAAAAGTTTTCTTTTTGGAAATTAGTATCTGTCTTGATAAAAATTAAATATCATGGGCTGGGGAGATAATTCACTCAGTAAAGTTATTTGCCCCTTGCGAGCTCGGGAACCTGAGTTTGATCCCCAGAACCCGTGAAACAGACAAGCCGGTGGGAAAGGTAGACAGGAGACGTGCTGGGTCTTGCTGGCCGGCCACCCTACTCGGTGAGTTCCAGGCCAGCGGGAGACCCTGTAACAACAACTAAGGTTGTCCTCCAGCCTCCACGTGCATGGGTACACACATGCACACTTGTGAACATGCAATACATAAACACCCCGCAAAGTTTGCTGTAGAAAATGTCCCTCCTAATAAAATACACCAGTGTTTGCCTGTAGTGTCAACAAATGGTTCACAACTTCTGTAGATCTGCTTTACCAAGACGGCACCTATTGCAAGCTTTCTGTCCCCATTCGCTGCCTCCTCCCCTTTGCCTCCCTACTTCTCCCTCCCGGCTCCCTCCCACCCTCCCACCCCAACCCCGCTTTGTTCTGGAGACACGGGTGAGCTGGTAGGTCCCATGCAGGCGGCTCTGGCTATCCCCACAAAGCTTTCTGGGTCGTTTGTCTCCCCTGGAGGCTCTGATGCCCCCTTGGAGAGTCTTTCCCTGACCATGCCTGCCCAGCAATTTCAGCGTGAATGGAAAAGCGTGGGGAGGCGGGGAGGAGACAGAACGCAGGAATGGCATTCTAGCTTGCTACCCGCTGTGTGTCAGCAAGACAGTGCAAGTTTAAAGATAATCAAGGCTTTAGAATCATAGCTGAGGGAAGGCTGTAATTTTAATAATTATGCATAATCTCAGCATATTGAACATCTCGGAGCTGTGCGGAAAATTCTGCCTCAAAGTTCATTTTAAATAGAACAGGTTCTTGCCTTTATTAAACTATTTTCCAGACTGCAGAGAGAGAGACCTAGGTTATCACCCTCAACACAGTTCCACAGATAGGTGCCTCTACCCGATCTTGGTCAGTTTATGCCATTTGGTGTGATTAGGCAGGGCCTGTCTGATACTATGACATTTTAGCAGATTTAAAATGAAGGAAGGAATCAGAAGGTAGCCAGATCCACCAGAGCTAGACATGCAGGAAACAGTGTAGGAGACAGGGTGAGGGAGGCTGAGTGCAGCATCACGTGGGGCCAGGGTCACTGGAGAAACAAGGTAACTTAAGTCCTGAACTAGGACAGCTTAAGGCCCCTTAAGAATACAAGGGGCCCTGGGATCAATTGTCCCAAGAGAGCTGGAACAAAGCTTAACCTAATGATATGGACAAAAGTTTGGAGGGAATTAGTGAGCTTTGAGCAAAGAAGTGACGCACTATGACTCATGTTTTAAAGGGGTCACTCACCTGCCACCTACCCCAGGTGGCCACAGAACAGTAAGAAGAGGCCAGCTCCTGGTGTAAGCAAGTGCTTGGTGACTGTGTCCTGGGTCTAGTGCAGTGGTGTGTACCAGTCACCCTCAACACATGCTGGGAAGGTGGAACCATTGGAAAAGAGACAGCTGAGGATGACTCCGGGCCGTGCTCCTTGGAGCACTCCCTGGGACGTCTGAAACAAAGTGTCCATTCTCTAGGAGGAGGAGGAGTTTGGGGGTCAGAGTGGCAGGAAGGCTTGGGCTGCAGACACATCTCAGAACTTCTCTGTTGCCGGGTGTTGGGTGGGCAGCTAGATTGGGTCAGTACCAGGGAGAGGTGAGAGCCAGGGAAAAGTGAAGCCAGGGAGAAGCAGAAACTGGAGATGCCATTAAGGAGCTGAGCATGTGGGGGGTGAGTCAAGCTGGGTGAGACCACAGGCTGTGAGGGTGGACAGACAGAAACGGGGAGCCCTAAGATTGAGCCCTGAGCTCAAGGTAAGGGGTGGATAAAGGACACTGGAAACTGAGGCAAAATGGGATCATGTGAACTTGGGGGGAAAATGTAAGTTACAAGGCTGGAGAGATGGCTCAGCCATTAAGGTTAGGAGCATGTGTTGCTCTTCCAAAGGACCTGAGTACAATTCCCAGCAGCCACCTCAGGTGGCTCACAACCTCCTGTAACTCCAGCTACAAGAGACCTAAGACCTCTGGCTTCTGCAGCACCCACACATAGCATATGCTCACACAGACACACATAGATAAGGGTGGGAAAAGGACCCAACAGAGAGGATTGGGTTGCAGAGATCAGTGTGAGAAAGGAGAGCCCACAGAGCATCCCCGCCAAGAAGGGGACAGGAACTGTGCCCATCCTGTATGTGACCAGCTGTCTCTATGGAGGAAAGAAGGTACTCAGTAAGAGAGGAAGACCCCGGGGCGGGGGCGGGGGGGGAGCACTGGAAACTGAGGCAAGAGAACCTTTCCAGAAATAAGGCTCTGCCTTCCTTCCAACTGCAAAAAAGCATGTGCTGGCTAGTTTTATGTCAACTTCACACAAGCCAGAGTCATTTGGGAAGAGGGAACTTCAATTTAGAAAAGATTCCACCAGATTGGCCTGTGGGCAAACCTGTGGTACATTTTCTTGATTGATGATTATTGTGGGAGGGCCCAGATCACTGTGAGTGGTGCCATCCCTGGGCTGGTGGTCCTGGGTGCTGTAGGAAAGCAAACTGAGCAAGCCATGAGGAGCAAGCAAGTAAGCAGCACTCCTCCATGGCCTCTGCATCAGCTCCTACCTCCAGGTTCCTGCCCTGGTTAAGGTCCTGCCCTGACTTACCTCAGTGATGGACCATAATATGGAACCATAATATAAAATAAACTCTTTCCTCCTCAAGTTGCATACAATCATGGTGTTTAATCACAGCAATAAAAACCCTAAGACACAGCATCATGATGGAATGCCCTTTAGAAAACAGCAAACCCATGCTAGGCCATAAGCTGTATACTAGAATGCTGGGCCCCAGCTGCCATAATTATGTCCTAAGTCTGGGTGGCCGAGCAGCAGGAATGCATTGTCTGGGTTCTGGGCAGGAAGCCCAGAGGGTCAGCAGGTTGGTTCTTTCTGGGGACCGTGAGGTGGAGCCCTGTCTTAACCAAGCACAGCTGCAAGGATCTCCTTTCCAACAAGGCCATAGCTGAGGTGCTGAGGTTAGAGTTTCAGCGTAAGCATCGGCAGGGGCAGGGTCACAGCTCAACACTCCACACCTGTGAGAGCTCTCTTTTTTTTTTTTTTTTTTTTTTTTTTTTTTTAAAGATTTTATTTATTTATCATGTATACAGTGTTCTGCCTGCATGTGTCCCTGCAGGCCAGAAGAGGGCACCAGATCTCATTGCAAGTGGTTGTGAGCCGCCATGTGGTTGCTGGGAATTGAACTCAGGACCTCTGGAAGAGCAGTCAGTGCTCCCAACCTCTGAGCCATCCCTCCAGCCCCCGGGGCCGTGCGTGTGGACAGTTCTCCCAGCTGAGTTCACGGGGTGAGAGCTAAGAAAAGTGAGCATGCCGAAGGAGGAGCTGCAGGATTCACGGACGGCAGATGACGAGGGGAGGGGGGAGTGGGGGGAGTGGGGGGAGCAGAGGAAGTATGGAAGACTGAGGGAGAAGGAACCTCAGGAAGAGTGGCCCCTGAGAAGGCCGGAGACTACCGAAGAAAGCCAAGCCCTTAGGGACAGAAGCATGTCTGAAGGAGGTGACAGGAAGGTGGTGGCTCACTGGTGGGTGGGGTACCTGGCCATAGGAGCTTGTAAAGATGCAAGTGCCCATCACTGAAAAGGTCCCACACTCAGTGCTCTCATGTGAAGCACAGTTCCGTGCCTATTGATTCTCAGTCCCATGGGTAGGTGACTGTCTATGTCCCGGTGTCCAGGTGTCCACCATCCATAGGACCCAAGACCGTGGGGAGAGTGTGGGGGGCGGGGGACAGAGGCATAGGAGTCCCCAAGACAGATACTTTGTGTTCCACTCTTAATCAAAAGCATCTTGGTGCTGACACTGTATAATTTGGGGTCCTGACACTGTATAATTTGGGGTCTTCAGTTCCTTCTGGGAGGCTCCAGAAGGGCATCCCCTGCAGTCACAGCTATCAAGCCCCATAAACAATGCCAAAATTACCATGGAAGCCTAAATAACATTCGCTGTTCCGTCTTAAAGGCCATCAGCACCGCGACTCTGCAGCTCGCACACCCATGGGAGCTTATCCCAAGCTTGGAATGCTCAGGGACACACTGAACATAAATTATAAGACATAAAGTACCATCATTAAGATAAATATATTTAATATTATTTTATAAAAATTACCGTGGAATTTTAATATTAACTCTTGCTGTGAAAATTGATACATTCTAAAATTAAGAAGTAACATGCAAAATGGGATCGTGTGAATTTGAGTTTTTGCGGGGGAAATGTAAGTCATGAGGCTGGAGAGATGGCTCAACCATTAAGGTTAAGAGCATGTGTTGCTCTTCCAAAAGACCTGAGTTCAATTCCCAGCACCCTCCTCAGATGGCTCACTACCTCCTGTAACTCCAGCTACAGGAAGGCTAATGCCTCTGACACCCACACAGCATATGCTCACACAGACACACATATATACATACAATTAAAAGCGTGTGTGTGTGTAGCTTGAGTTTTCCTGCCTGGCCCACAGTCAGGACAAATCTCTCTCACCCGCCAGTCCCACAGCCTCTCAGACCAAACCAAGTAAACACAGAGACTTATATTGGTTACAAACTGTATGGCCGTGGCAGGCTTCTTGCTAACTGTTCTTACAGCTTAAATTAATCCATTTCTATTAATCTATACCTTGCCACGTGGCTCGTGGCTTACCGGCATCTTCACATGCTGTTTGTCATCATGGCGGCTGGCAGTGTCTCTCTGACTCAGCCTTCCACTTCCCAGCTTTATTCTCCTCCTTGTCCCGCCTATACTTCCTGCCTGGCCACGGGCCAATCAGTGATTTATTTATTGACCAATCAGCAACACATTTGACATACAGACCATCCCACAGCATGTGTGTGTGTGTGTGTGTGTGTGTGTGTGTGTGTGTGTGTGTGTGTGTGACTAAATTTGTCATGATCCCTAAAAAATTCCAGTTCAGCAATCCAAGGAGAGAGACCCTTGCGGAGGTCCCTGCAGAAGTCTTGTTAGTGAGCATGGTAGGAAGACTGTTCCAACCTCCATTCCAAATGCAACTACTGAGTGACATGGGTTGAGAAGTGAATCTGGGGGCCCTCACCCTGAGTCTGAGAGCTTCTGGGCCTCAGACTTCCCGATATTGATGAATGGTGTCCTTGGCGTTTTCCTGCTTTTCCTATTGTGACAACTCACAGTTTGAGGGTGCAGGGTAGTCAGGGAGCGGGGGCATGAGGCAGCTGGTCACATTGCATCTGTAGTTAAGAAGTAGAAATAAATGAATGAATGCTGGTACTT